TCACTCGTCCAGACATAATTCTGACACAGCACACTTACCTACTCACACCTACCTACAACAAAAGCGTTCAGCCTGAAACGGAGCCTGAACAAAGTGAGCTGGCAACCTTAGGAGCCCCTGGAGAAGAGGAGGTGGCTGCGGTGGGTGCTCTCTGCTGCTGGGAGCGTGGCAAAGGCCGTGCAAGGAGCTGCAGAGACCTTCAAAGAAGCACCACCTCAAGCAGACACAGGCAATGCTCTGTGACAGCTGACCTTTGTCCCGAGGAGCTGACACGGTTGGAGAAGGCAGGAGAATAAATTTCAACTACTCCCTCATGTCGGTAATACAAAATGTTCAGATGCTTAAAGGTTATGACAAGCCCGCGTCTGGTAAAGAGGTCAGTCTGCCCTGAAAGCATTGCAGAAGCCAAAATAAAGTCTAGTCAAGCCTATGCAGAGTATGAGCACTGAGGCAGGGAAAATAGTGAGGCCTCTTTCTCCCCAGTGGTGGCCCCAGAAAGCAGCGGTAAGGCTGCTGTTAAAATTAAAATATGGCTGAGTATTAGGATATTTGCCTTGGGCAGATATATGTTTTGAGAGACCAGGGTCAGTGGTTGTTTTAACCGCGTTGTTTCATCCCTACTGCCACACTTCCTGAATTTTCCACTTAAGCGGCATTTTAAACAGGACACAGGTATGCTGGTGGCATTCGGCATCACACTCTAGAGGGTAAAGTGTGTGTGTGTGTGTATTCATGTGTTTCTTTCTGTCCATCTGTCTATCTCAAGGTCCATAAACCAGCAGTGGAAAAACAGGAGTCGTGAAGCTCAGGGCAAACAGAGAGGAGGAACGATTGTAGAACCAACAGGACAGAGAAGAAAGTAATTTTCTACCATCAGGGAAGATCAAGTCATGACAAAACTCTTACACTAATGAAAATTATAGTTTAGACTTTATGTGCAAAAAGAAACTTTGCACAATCTAGATATAATATACATTGAACAGTGATTACCTTATTTTTAAAATGTTTTATTTATTATTGGTGGCATCATGTAGGAGCCATTGCCAAGGATCGGGATCCCAGTGAATTTCTAGGCGATAATGGCTGAACAGTGACTGCTGCAGTTTATGGCTGAGCTGTTGGGCACGATGCAGTGGGCAGAAAAAGGGAAACAAGGTTTAAAATGGGAGAATGACTGACAAAATAAACAGGCTAGAAAAAAATGGAGGGATGGCTTCACCAAATTTCAGCAAAGATTGCAAATGGCCACAACTTGGGAAGTCTTCTCCTAACACATCCTTTATGTATTCAGAAGGACTTGGAGAGACCACGATCTATAGGAATTTTGACCACCTAACTTAATCCATTGGCTGAAACATTTCCCTTTCTGCCTGGGTATTTTTATATCCAGTCAGTTTTGTTGTCTTGTGATAAAGTTCCAACAAAACATTTTTAATCACTTCTTGATCCAAAGAAAGGCTTAAGCTATACAAGCTGCTTTTGGGATCTTAGTATTGTTCAGCCTGGAATAGGACGCCAGATCTGGGTTCCTGCTAAATGAAAACTTCTCACCGTTTATATCAACATCCTTTGTGCAGGTCTATAGATAAAAGCAGAGGCACAGAGTATTGATGAGGAAATATATTTCATCGTGAAGCACCTTTGCACATTACCATGAAAATTAACTTGAATTTGTCCAAATTACAACTTGTTAATTTTGCAGATGGTACATGTAGTACAGTTTGCTTGAGGTTTTCGTAGTCAAAGATATGACCATGCTATGGTTGTACACACTGAAAAATCCTGACTTAAATATTTCCACTGAAAATAACAGGACCGCTCTTGAAAAAAGATGCTAACATACAGGAGCCGAAGCTAATTAAAAGTGTGCACTGAAGCTGAGCATGTGTATGTGCATGCCTGGCACTGAAAGCTGCCAAACACGTGAAAGGGTAAGGAAAGCTGAACACGCTGGGCACAACTCTCCTCTTAACCCTCTTAAGAATACAGAGCTGTGGGCATCTTGGCATTCCCAGGAAAAGGGTTTCTTCCCGTATACCTCCGTAGCCTAAAAGGTAAAGATGTTCTGGCAGAATCCAGCCAAATAATTCCAAATCATGAATTTTACATTGGCAGCTTGGGAGGATGGAGAGCACTACGACCTCCTCCAGTTCAACACTGTGCTGTTATTATAATTTATTGTCTTTTAAAAGAATCTGACAGATTCCAGAATCAAAGTAAGTTGCAACACCTATAGGACCGTGTTTATATGAGACTGTAAGCTCTTTGGGGGCACAGCACATCTTTTTGTTCTCTGCTTGTACAGCATCCAGTACAATGTGTTTGTCCATGACGTACCCTATTCGTCAAAGTAATGAAAGAAAGGCTATTTTTACATTAATAAAAGTTCTTTATGACAGCAGAATGATAAATGATAGACGCCCAGTTCCCTCTTCAGCTCTGTCTTTAGACAACAATACATTAATTTGTAAATAACACATTACAATTTAAGCTGCACCAATGCCATAATACACACAGAAGGGACACTTGTTCCCCTCTGTATCCAGCACTAGTATTAGATACAGCTGTACAGAGCAATAGTAAAAATTTACTGGACATTAATATTCTTCTGGTCCAATTTAACTGAAGCCTTGAAAGCCTGTGTGCAGCTGATAAAGTTTGTGGTACACACATTCATGGTAGTCCAGGACAGTTTTATACATAAATGCCTGATTCTCCTCCAATGAACCTCGAGAGGGCTGTGCTACCATCCAAATGGACAAGCACCCGTGCTTTGACTTATTCCTGAATTATTGACGCAGGCCTGGATACGTGTGCATGTGTGGCAATCCTGCCTGTCGTACTCAGTGATGATTTCCCCCCTAACTTCTGTGATGCAGAATAAAGCCTTTTCACATTTCTGAAGGGGTAATGAGCAACTAAGGCAATAATACTGGACCATCCTGACAAGATAAATGGTGTAAAAGTATATGGAGAAACTACAGGAAGAAAAACATGTATACGGTTGTGGAAAATGATGTAGTAAAGAACCGGAGGCTGCTGTAATACAAGATGTTCAATAATAATTTAGGTTTAAATGTAAAAACTTAATTTTGACATTTGCATTAATAATGTGACATTTGCATATCTTTTAATGCAGCTTTTTTTTTTAAAAAAAACCCCTAGACTATAGCCAATGCTCACAGATGCCTGCTTTCTTATACCTCAGCATCATTTTGATATCTCCCAATGCCAAAGTACTGCAACAAATCTGTGATTACTCAGGACATCCATATGCCGTGCAGCATGGCTACTACGAGCTTTGGCGAAACAGCGGGAACACGGCCCACGTTTTCCGATTCCGAAAAGCCCAAAGCTTTTCTGCTTCAACTAATCCTGTCTCTCCCCATTTGGGGCCCGGGCGTACAATGTCATTATAGGAGACTAGTGAACAGTGGAGAAATGCGGGTGGAACAGAAAATACTGAAGTATTCACTGAAGATCTGTGTATGGAAGGGGACACGTTCCATTTTTGCTTGTTCCCTCAGGTGAGCCAAGCCTTGCACCCCTTTCCCTTGCTCCTGCCCGAACCGCATCCCTGAGGGCAGCGCGATTCAGGCTCAGCCCTTTGCCTGCGCTCTCCGGTGCCCAACCCCGAGCAGCAACTGCAATTAAACGCAGCAAATAAACAAACAGAAAATCAAAGCTACGTGTTTGTCTTTTCTCCTAACTCGGTCCTTTCCTTTTTATTACTATTTTTTTTTTTTTTTTTTTTTTTTTAATCTGTGAAGAACGCAGAGGTGTTTCCACCAGCAGGGGGTCGCTCGCTGGCTCTCCCGCCGCGCTTTCCCCCCGATGCTCGGGGCAGCCATCAGGGCTGCGTCGCCGCCTCCTTCTCCCTTTCCGCCCCCGTCAGCGCGGACGCCGGAGCCGAGGCACAAGGACGAACGGCGGGCTCGGCCCTGCCCGGTGCGGTGGCCGCCCCGCCCCGTCCCGCTCCGCTCCGGCTTTTGCCTCGCGCCCCGCCGCCGCCGCCGCCGCCTCCGCGCGCGCCGCTGCCGCCGCCGCCGCCGCCTGGGCGAGGGGAGCCCGCGGCGGGTGGAGTGGAAGGGGAGGGCGGAGGGGGGGGGGGGGGGGGGGGAGCGCGCGCGCGCGCAGCCTCCGTCGCGAGAGAGGGCGCGTGCGTGCGCGCGTGCGCGCGCGCGGGAGGCGGCGGGCGCGAGCCCCGTCCCCGTGCGGCCGCAGAGAGGAGAAGCAGCGGCGGCGGCGGCGGCGGCTGGCGCGGCGGCGGAGCGACGGCGAGGCTCTTGTTTACCAGCGTTCACTCTCCGTCGTGCACAGGGAGCCAGCGCGGAGGAGGAGGAGGATAAGGGGGGGGGGGGGGGGGGGGGGAGGAGGAGACGCGGCAGCAGAGCGCTGCAAACCCTGCTGCGAGCGAGCGGCGAATTAATTGGGAGGAGCAGCAGACCCTTCCCCCCCCTCCTTTCCCTCCCCGGAGGAATTACAGACCCTTCGCAACAAGCTCCTGGGCTTTGACCTTCAGCAAGCCGGATCGCCTTCCTCGTCCCCCCCCCCCCCCTCCCCGCCGCCCCCCCTCCCGGCTTACACACGCACACATACACACGCGCACACACACACACACACACACACACCTCTTCGCGGCTCCCCCTCCCCCTTCCTTGGGCTGGGCAGCGCGAGGGGAAGGTTTGCAGCGCGCGCACACCCAGAGGCGGAGGGAGAAAAGGGGGAGAAAAAAAAAAAAAAGGAAAAGGATTTACAAATTCGCTGGGTGGTTTTTGTTGTTGTTGTTGTTGTCGTCGTCCTTCCCCCCCCCCCCCCGCCCCCGGCGCGATGGCAAGGCGGCTCGGAGGGATGCGAGGAGGAGAGCTGCGGGGGGAGGAGGCGGGGTGCTGAGCTGCTCCGCTCGCCCTGCTGCTGCTTTGTGTGTGTGTCCTGGATTTCCTTTTTTTTTCTTTTTTTTTTTTTTTTTTTTTTTTCTTTTTTGAGAAGGAGCCTGTGGCAGTGGCGCCGAGGAGAGGAAGAGGAGGAGTAGGGGGGAAGCCTTTTTAATTCATTTTCGTTCCAAATTCCGCATTTCGAGCCTCTGCAGCCAGCCGGACTTGTGTTGTTGTTGTTGTGGGTGGTGGTTGTGCGTGGGGCGGTTTTTCTGCTTTCCCCCCCCCCAACCCCCCCATTCTCCCCCGCTGAGCGGGGAGAGGAGTCGGGGGGATCCCACCAGGGCAGCCCCGTCCCCCCGCGGAGGGACGGAGAAGCTGTTGTTGTTTTGTAATAAGATTGTCTGGGTCGCACCCCCCCCCCCCCAACACCACCCTCCCCTCCGCAGCCCTCCCAGTTTTTGTGTCTCTCTCTGTGTGTGTCTGCGCGCTGCCTCTGTGTGCGGTGTTTGAAAATGGAGGTTGAAGATGCAGACTGCCAGCCCCGATGTGCCTCATGTTTGCGACTCCTGTGCACGATGTACCGCTGCAGCCAGCGCTGAGGGGAGACGGCGGCGCCCCCCGCCCCGCCGCCCCGGAGCCCGCCCCGCCGCCCCAGAGACAGCGTCGCCCCGGGGCTTTCATGCCTTGTTGTTGTTGCCGTTAATACATCTTGAATATCTGTGTATTTTTGGTGTGGTTGCTCCGGAAGATCAACACCCAGGGACCTCAAAAACCCTCCGGTTTGCCAGACCGAAGGGTCTTGTTTTTTTCGTTTCTTGAGGCAACGTGGATTTATTTATCCTGCCCCGCTTCTCGTCTGCCTTTTGCCTCCTTCGTTATTTTTAGAGGACGGGGACTGAAAAGAAAGCGAACAATTTTGGACTTTTTTTGTTTTGTTTTGTTTTCGGAAAGGGGGATTTTGTCCAATTAAAAAAAGAGGAATGAAGTCTGGCGCTGGAGGAGGGTCCCTCGCCGTCGTCTGGGGGTTTCTGCTCGTCTTCGCCGCACTTTGTCTGTGGCCAACAAATGGGGAAAGTGAGTACGGTGCGTGTCGGTCGGGGGGGGTGCGAGGGGGTCGGCGAGGGGCCCCCGGGCCGTGCGAGGGAGCCCGGTGTGTGTGTGTGTGTGTGTGTGTGGGGATGTGAGGGCGACGGCTGCTCGTGTGGGTTTGGGGGGGCCCTGTGTGAGGAGGTCGGTGAGGGGGGTCCCTGTGTGTGTGTAGGTGATATGTGTGACGGGCTTGGGGTGTGTGTATGAGGGGCTGCCTTTGCGTGTGTGTGTGTGTGTGTGTAAGAGGGGCTGGGGGGGGGAAGTGTGTGAGGGGCTCCCTGTGCATGAGTGGGTGTGAGGGGGAGTGTGTGAGGGGCTGAGGGGGGGGGGGAGTGAGGGGCTCCCTGTGCGTGTGGGTGGTGGTACGAGAGGCTCCCTGTGCGTGGGTGGGTGTGAGGGGCTCCCTGCGTGGGCGTGAGAGGCTGAGGGTGGGTGTGAGGGGCTCCCTGTGCGGGTGAGGGGGGGGGGGGGCGGGGGGAGCGAGGGGCTCCCGGGGCGCGGGCGCCGTTTTCCCGCCGCGGTGAGCGGATTTCGCCCCTGCCCGCGGGGGATGTGCGTGTTTTCCTCCTGCTACGCGTCTGCTCCTCCACCACGTTTAACAACCCCGGGGCTGCACGTCTCCCCCTCTCCCTCCCGTCCCTTCTTTCCCCCGGGGGGCGGCTGGCTGGTTTTACACAGCGGGGTTGGCAGAGCCGCAGCCCCCCACGCCGGAGGAGGGGGTCGCGATGCCCATCCGTCCCCTCCTTTGTGTTTCCCCCCACCTGACCCGCGTTACTACTCCGACCCCCCCCTTCCAGAGCCCGGCGCAGTGTTTAGACCTCTGCGGCCAGGGCTGCGAGCTGCGTAGTAAACACTTGCAGGCTGGGAAGAACTGTGCTTTCTTTCCCCGCATGGCAAGAGCTTGATCTTTGTCAATATTTAGAGGCTGTATGCAATAACCTGCCACAGTGAGTGAAGAATTCCTGGAAATAAGCGCCTTGCCTTTTATTGCCGCTTTACTGCCGAGGAAGGGTTTCAGTCGCTCTGCTCGGGGTGCAGAATTACGGTGGCATCCCGCAATCTAAAGGTCACAGTCTGCTGTTGTTTTTATTTTTTTTTTTTTTTCCCAATTTATTTCTAGATTGGTTACTTTACGTTTGTGCCAAAACAGAAACGTTTGATGGCCGGGTGGGCTGTATTCTTAAAGGTGATTTTTTTTTTTTTTTGTTTTTTTGTTTTTCAAGCAGCTGCGTGTTGCATCTAGCATTAAGGTTTGTGCAGTTGGCTTAGCAGCGTGCGAGCTGCTTCCTCCGTGTGTGCCAGTGCTGCACCGAGGAAAACGTGGTTCATTGTGCGCGACCGCGCAGCCGGGTCCCCAGCGCCCGGAGATGCGGGGATCCCTCCTGCCGCTTCTCGGCTGCGGATCGCGGTGTCCGTCGGTCTGTCTGGCTTGGGAGTTGCAAAAACCCTGACTTTGTGCGTTTCAAACCTGTGATTATATTGCAGTGCCCGCCCCCTCCGGGCGCAGGGGGGAAATAAAGGGGGCAGGGATGGCTGGCGCTCCAATTGATTAGACTGCAATCATCACCATATTAATCCCGGTGCTGATCAGTTTTCTTCTCCTATGTCGGACTCTGGCTGGATTGAGGCTCTCTTGCATGAAATGAGCCTTCCCTTGTTTTCTGGAGTATCTCTGTAGGCAGGGAGGTGGTAATTGTGCCTTGGAGCCCAACCATTTTAAAAAACTTCTCGCTCTTTTTTGGCGTCTGCAGGAACAGGGATGTTTCTGTACGGCATCTCGATGCTTTAATTTCTGCCACTGTGTGTTTTTCAGCATACTCCTGGAGCTGTTGCTGTGGGCTTCTCACTTTCAAAAAGATACGCGTTGTTGGAGAGAAGGAATGGAGAGATCAGTTTTCTCCATTTTAAATGTAAAGAATGTAGGAGCTAGAAACGTTTTTCTAAATGTAGTCATTTCAGGTTAAAAAGAAGGGAAAGTTCTTTGGATGTACTGACAGTGAGGCTAGCTATAAAAAAATAAAGTAAGAAGCGCAGAGATGCAGTCTGTAATATGTGTTGAGTAATACTGTGTTTCATTAGCCAGTGAATGCCAATTAACTCCTTGCAAATTAAGGCCCAATTTAGGCTTTTGCGTTGTAGTGGCAGGGCCAGCTAGGACTGGAGAGCTGCAGTCTTACTTCCACGAGTTGAACTTTTTAGCTAGAGCTGTTTTCAAGAGGGAAGATTAATCTCTAAGTTTAAAAACAAAGCCCCAGTGCCCTTCTTCAGGAAAGGGTTTACAAAGGACTGAGTAGCATGAAGAAACAGAACAGGAGAGGAGGTGATCTGGTGTGTCTTCAAACTGCTAGGATACGTGCTTACTTTTTTTTTCCTTGCCTTACCTGGTACAAAACACCTTCAAATAAAAATGCTCACCCAGCTCTGGCAATAAAATAATGAAGGAACAGTGTGTTAGGATTTTGGGTTCCAGTCCTCTGAAGTGTTTGTGGTTGCCACTTAGCTAAAATGACCCAATTAAGAACCTCCCAAATGAAATATCTTCTTCTGAAGAAGATCTAAGCACTTAAATATAGGAAGATATGCTGAAAAACTTGTCTTAGTTGAATACTGTCTCTAATCGATCGTCTTTGTAGTTTACAGTTTAATAGCCTTTGTTTTCATGAGTTATTGCTGAAAGAATTTTGCTGTTAGGGGGAAAAATGATCTCCAGAGCAGATGTTTTGCATCTCTTCATATTCTTTTCTCTCCCCACAATAGTGGAAGGAAGATTAATCTTAATTTTTATTTGTTTTTCATATATACTGTGTCGTAGCTAAAAGGCACTTCCATTTTCGGTCAAACAAGCAAGGCATTCCTAAATAGGAATACAAAGGAGTTACAACTGGAGGGGAGAGACCCATCCCTTTAATGCTAAATTATATGAAATCTGTTTGTGGTTATATGACAGAAACCTCTTTAAAATGCAGGTAGCTTCAGTGGAAAGCTTCTGAATCAAAACCAGTCATTTACAAATTCTGATAATTTCTTGAGATTTTGTTAGAACAGCAGAAAAATAAAAATACCCTTCTTTACGATGAAATATGTGCTGGTGTAACAGTGCATTTGATGTGTAAAGCTGCAACTGCTGGAGACTATTTCATCCTGGGGGTGGGTTTAAGATGAAGCCTAAACGTGGTGTTTTCTTCCTTTTCTACCTGGAGCATGACAGGGTTTTGATTTTCACCCTTGTGTACATTTAGAAAGGGAATGTCTAGAAGGGAATGGGTTAAACATTTAGATAAAATAATACTTCAGACTGATAGATATCTTGATGAATCTGTTCATGTTAGCTCTGAGCTTTTGTTTGTCTATCCAGGCTATATTTTATGTTACTGATGTTAATAAACAGTAGCTCATGCTGTGTGTTTAATCTCTCTCAGGTTGCTTAGTAAAGACCCTCGTGACCTCCTGAGTGTCAGCGTTACACACACCTAGCTTTCACATCAGCGTTTTCATATACGCCTAGTGGTTAGTGAATGTTGTTAACTGGGAGTTAGATAATTCCTTCTCTAATTGAGGTTGTGAATAGAAAATGCCAGAGCATTTAAGGAACTGGTGTCAGCCGGGTTCACCAGAAAAAGGAGAGGAGGAAAGTGTTGGGGGAGTGATGGTGATGGGAGTCCCTGGGAAGGAGCGGTGAGCCAGGCAGTACTTGGACTTTTTTGGTTGTGTTAGATTGTACTTTCAAAGCGTTTCCATACCAGAACTGGAGCAAAGGCTTGCATGACTCAGAAACTGAAAGGGTTAGGAAATGGTAGTGACTTAGCTAATATCAGGCAAAATGTGTTGAGAATGTGAGAAAGCAGAGGAATGGGTGTGGAAAGAAGATGTGTGTTAGAAGTTCCAGTGCTGAACCAACGTTTGAAAGAGAGAAATACTCTTCTTTGTGTGAAGTGAAGGAACTTTAACTTTGTTCTTCAGTAAATTGTGAGAAGTCAAGGAGGAGAAGGGGTACAGAGAGTGAGAAGACAGATCACTTAGTTTAAATTCAGTACAACAGAAGACATGATTTACTGAGTTTAATTGGGAAATTACTCAGATTTGATAAACTGTTGTGTTAGTTTTTATGTGTGCTTTTCCCTGACCAGTTGTTCCTTCAAACTAATTCTAGAGTATAGTTAAAGCAGAACTCCAGTGACACTGAAATTGTTCTCATCTTGAAATACACACGCAAAATCTGGTGTTGAGTAATTTCCATGTGATGATTTTTGAATCTGTTTTCACTGGTAAATAATTAATTTCTATCAGTATACATTACTTTGGGAAAAGTTGTTTCAAATCCTGATTAATTTTCTGCTAAACTGACCTTTAGTAAGAAACTCTTGAAGGTGAATGTCTTCAGTGAAGAGAATTTTTTTTTTTTTTAAGCATCTAACATTTAGCATTAAAATACATTTCCGGACTGAAACGGCTAGCTTTAAAGGACAGTTTCAATTCATGCTTAATGGAAGCTTTTTTCCTCTTCCTCCATTTTTTTTTTTTTAATTTTTTTTTTTTTTTTAAACTCTGAGGTAGATTTTACCAGTGATCACCGGAACTATTAACTCACCGAGACTATAAGAGGCAGTTTTGTTAAATGATTAATTATATTGTGTGTATATTCCATCTGTGTGAATTGTGAGCTACCACAAGCTTCATTGTAGAGAAGTTTGTTTATGGTCCTGAACTTGGAGAGAGGAAATAATACATGCAGGAAACCTGTTTTTCTCACACTGGCCGTTAACTTTATGATCCCACACAGAAAACAACTTACCTAGCTCATCATCTGTAATGGCCGTAAAGTTCATAACTTACAAAATGTATTGAATTAAATGATTTTTAAAAATTTACAGTATTTGTCTAGATAATCTGTAGTTTAATAAACTTCATGAGCATTATTTTACTTTCTTGAAAAGGTGATGACTGAGAAGTGGTGACAACTTTCTGAAAAAGTTTTTTTTAAACTTTGTTTTATG